TTGCTGTTTTAATAAAGCCTGCATCTTGATCTGCCATATATCGAAGCTGTTCTTCCCCGTGAACTTTTCGATCTTCATGTTCACCGACGTCATTCTTCTGAATCGAAAAAACCCTAGCCTGATTTCTAGCCGCGGCTCTGATACCACTTGTTATAAACGCGCTGCTACGGATCGGGAAATCGCCGGAATCGACAAAGCAAGAATACGAAAGCGAGAATCGAAAATACGACACACGATTTACGTGGTTCACTAACACAATGTGTGTTAGCTACGTCCACGGGCGAGAGAGAGCCGATTTCACTATATCAAGGAGATTACAGATTACAGAGGAGTATGAGAAGTATTTATAGTACTTCTCCATGTGGGTCTAAACCTAATCCAATCTGACAAAGGAAACGGTTACAGACCAGGCCCAGAACCCGAACCCAAATAACATTGTACCCAGACCCCCGATTACCAGTCGTAGTGGCTGATAGTCTGATTCAAGTCATATCAACATTATGCCTATATCCTACCACTATTATATGGAGATTCTCCATCAGAACCTACTCTATTCAAAATTTCGAGCCTTATGAGAGTTTGTAAGAAGGGTGTTTTTAGCATTTAAATTATTAAAATAAAGCATATTTAGACTTCTAAACCAAATAAATATGTCTATACATTAATTATACGTGTAATAGTAGTAGGATTTTTATTCATTAACCAAATAAAAAATTAAAACCTTTACTTTGAAAACTAAACATGTGGGACATTAAAATATTAGTTAGTAGCCACATCCATTAAGAATCTTTAATTGATAAAGGTTTCATATTTGCAAACATTTTAGTTTTACACTTAATTAAAATTTCAATAAAATGAAGGTGAAGAAGAAATAGTTTTTTATGGTGGAGGTAGTGAATTCGAAAATAGTGATAGTGACGTTGTGACATTGTTGAGAATAAGGGGTAGAATATTGATGATGAATAGAGAGGTCACAGACTCGCAGTGATGAATATGAAACTACAATTATTGACAGAGATAATGATACATATGGTGAAGCAATAACAAAGAAGTTCATAAGAAAATTACAGTAATTTTTACAGCAAGAAGTAATTTGAAGTATATCTACTAAACTTGGAACTCTTTCTTTCTCTCACCCCTTTCATTCTCTCTGCCTTCTCTCTAGATTTTCATTCCGACGAGTGTAGGGGCTGCTGTCGGCGACTTCCCGGCGACCGGCGACAACCCTTCTTTCCATTTTTTTCGGGCTTTCCTTTTTCGTTTTCGTGCGCTTGTTTTCCCTTCCAGCTTTGTGCTTGTTTCTGCCTTCCATGGCATTTTCTTTCACGTTGGTGGATCTTTCTTCCTCCCCCCTCTGGTGGGTTGAGATTTTGCCCTCCCATCTGGTCACTCGTATCTGGAGATGATGGTTCTTTTCTAAGGTGCGATGGAGGCCAGACCTGGTTCAGATCTGGCTTGTTTTCTCCTTTTCTCTCCCTGGTCTACCTCCATGACTCACCTTGCAGATCTAGGTGCGTCAAAGATGCAACCCTTGGCGTCAGACTCGGAGTGAAAAGCTTGAAGACAGAGGTCCCCTTCCCTCTGGTTCCTTCATCGGGGATGGTCGTTTGCTGCTATCCCTGGCATCCGATTGGGGGAGGCCCAAGCCGACTGGCTCGGGAAGGAAAGGCGGGAGGTTCTCTTCCCCTCCAATCCGTACGAGTTTGGCGAGATTCGAACGGCGGTAGTAGCACTTTGCGGCGGTGGCAGCGCCAGGTGGGTGTTCACACGACGGTGGTGGGTCTCGGTAGCGACGATGGGGAACAAGAGGGGACAGAGTTTCTCTTTAGGATTTTGAAACCCTTTCTTGTTTTGTCCCGGGTCCGGACCCTATTAGGTTTCCGGCCCACTTGTTTGGGCCTTTTTTATTTGGTTTCTGATCCATTTTCGTTTTCTCTGCTTGTACCTTTCCATTTGGGCTTTGACACAGTCGCATTCTTAATGACATTTCACTTTTAAGAAAAAGTAATTTGAAGTGTAGTTTATTGAAGTTTTTTAAGAGTTAGTTCCCTTTCATAAGTTCTATTTTGTATTTTCAGCAAGAACTTTCATTGATGAACCAGTTAACATATCAAAAAATTCTATGATGTATGTTCCTTTTATTCCAGTAATTGAATAGTTCAAATCTTTTGACTTTAGATATCAATAAAAATATACCTTACTTCGTACAATTACAAACGCTGCTTATATGTTTGAAATAATGCATCCAGCCAACGGACATGGTACTTTTGTAGATGGGTCGGTTAGCATATTAGGATATATTATGATGTACGTTCCAAAAAAAAAATCAGTAATTGAATAGTTCGAATCTTTTGACTTTTGATACCAATAAAAATATATCTTGCTTACACATTAACAATGATTACTAATATTTTTGAAATAATGCATTCGGGCAATGAGCCGGGTTTCAAATCTAGTATATATGATGGTGATGACGATGCATCATGCTCCCTCTGGCCGGGATGGTTATGGCCTCTGACTGGGCTCCCACTTCTTGGGTGTCTTTGTTTTACCTTTGCTACCGACAACCATCATCAAATATATCTCGTCATAATCATCTCCATTTCAACATTTTCTTTTACCATTGATGGCTGATTTCACAATCCTAATTTGTCAAACCCAACAACAACAAAATTAAAGAAAGAATATCATAAATAAAGACTCCGCGCGCGCGGGCGCATTATCGCTGTGCTAAGTGGCCAACATATATACTGCTGCCGACTTCCATTACCTCTCTCTCTCTCTCTCGCGCTCTATATATATCGAGCTCCTTATTTTGTAGCTGTATGATATAGATCGATCCTTCTTAACCCAACTTGTATTTACTCATTAGTTTTGGGTCAGGCCAGGTACGTACGCACGCACGCCCACATCTTCTTTTAGCATTAGATCAAGCTATCTTCCAGTACAGCGTTTATCAAATTACTCTCGACCAATTTTTTACTTCATTAATGCCGTATTATGCTCCTGTCCTTATATATGTGCTGCTAGGTAGTAGAACAATCAATCCCTGCTACTGTTATAAATTCGACGCACAAATTGAGATTTGCTTTTTTTTTTAAATCATTTAAACTATAAAGACTTACACTTTGTTTTGTTATAGGGGAATGGGAGATGTGCAAATTAGAGAGGTAAACACCATTTCTAAGAAGTTTGTTCTTGTTTGGTTAATTTGTAACCCTATGAGAGTGCAAAATGATGGTTATAATTTACTATTTCGGCTTGCACGCCAAATGATCCAAGATAGAAGTAAGAAAGTGTTAGAGTGTGGTATAATATTCAGCTAGAGTGTGGTATAAGATCCAGCATAACCTTCTCCCAATAACTCGAGTTATTGGGACCAGTTGAATTTTGACATGGTATATCAGAGCTGGTTTGACCAAGTGGTCATGTATTTGAATCTCCACGACCCCCAATATTAACAGTTGATTAAAGCACAAGGTATGGTGGGCCTGTACAAACTTCAAGCCCGTAAGTTGACCTTCGTTTGACGGGAGAGAGAGAAATTACGGATTGTATTTTTCTATAATCATTAATATATTATGGGGTCATTTGGATGCAGGTTTTGGGTGTGGGATTTGGGCACAATCCTACATAATGAGTGATTTTATTAAAATCACTCGTTTGGAAAGCAATTATATGATAAGAGATTTTAAATATTAGAGATTTCAGAAACCCACAATTGTGGGATTATGAAATAGTTGATGGTGATCAGCTATTTTGAAATCCCACACAAATTCCACAAATTAAAAACCTGGGTTTTTAAACCAGTGATTTGAGCCAAAATCCCACAAATTAAAAACCTAGATCCAAATGACCCCTATGATTTTTTTTCTTATAATTATCATTAATGTAAACGTTATTCGGGGGTGACCGTTTGATTTCGAGAGCAAGTTTGTTAATGTTTGTTTAGTCAAATCGAGATCTGTTGGTTAACTCTAATTTGCACTAAAAATTAGAGAGAATAAGTGTTTATAGAGAAAGTAGAGAGATGAATGATTTGGTTAACTCAGTTTACTTGATTAATAAATTAAAATTGAAAATTCGAATATGTTTGACCTGATCCAATTTAAAGTTAAACTAAACACGAAAACTCTGTAGGATGACCAGTCATGAGTTGGTTTCGAGCTTGCTCGACCAACGATTTTTACGATTGTTATATTAATTAATATTTGAGCATTACTATTTAATAATTACTAATTAATCACTCCAAAAAATATTTAATAATTATATTTATTTATAATTTTTATAGATAAATTTATTTATTTCTTGTAATAATATTTTATAAATTTGATAATAATATAATTTACTTATTTTTCATCCTCTATTTACACCCTACTTTTTTATTCAAAACAACAACTTTTCACTCTATTTACACTCTTACCATTTCCCACTCAACTTGCATCTCTCGAATTCGCACCCGAGATAGTGTTAGTATAAGCTCTCATGCTCCACTTCTGGCTATATATTGTTGTCCGCACCGCAGTTCACTCGCAATGACAATATTGAGTGCATGCTTGCTGGTACGACTTGTGGGAATAATGATATGTATGTATATTAATGGAAAAAGTCAATGAGCACTCCAAAGTAACATTTTATACATGCCATTAGTACTCTAACACAACACATGGGTGGAACAATCACACGTACTGACCACTGACGATTCTCCATCCATCTTCCCCTTTTTCTTTTTGGGAACAAACTGCTCACAGTTGCTGCTATATATTCTACTAGATATACTTGTCCCGCCTTATGTGTGACTATGAGCCATCTCTGCATCTCATATATATATTGGCCAATATCCCACCTAGCTTTCAGCTATTTACTTTCGGTTAACCACAATTTCGCTCCACCACCACCAGTTTGTACACTTTTGTTGTTTTAAAGCAGAAAAGTAAGTTTCCTTTTCTGAGTGGACGCACGGGACGGGAGTCATAAAACAACACAAGAGAAATCATCTTCTTTTTTCGTGACCACGGGGACATTACACAACATTGCATTGCATATATATGGAAAAGACCTGTCTTGTCCCCCTCTATCTATCCCAAATTAAATGTGCCTCTCTTCCCAACCCTTCCATTTCTCCATTTCCTTCCATTCCTCTCAATATATTATCTTGTTGTATGTGCAGAGACAGAGCAGCAGCAAGATGGCGGCATCATCAGCAGCAGTTCTGGTGCGATATTGCCTTTTGTTGTTGTGTGCAGCGGCGGCCGCGGTGGCGCAAGAAGTAGTAGTACCACCACCGCACGACGAGGACAGCGACACCGTTTTGCAAAGCAGCAGCAGCAGCAACTACTGCCTGAGCTGGAGGCTGGGAGCAGAGACCAACAACGTCCGAGGCTGGTGGACGGTCCCGGCCCAGTGCTGCGGCTACATCCAAGCCTACATGGCGGGCTCGGGCCAGTACCAGAGGGACGTGGACCTGATTGTGGACCAGATCATGGGCCACGCGTCCAACGTCGCCGCCTCCATCGCCACGGGGGCGGCCGGAGACGAAGGTGGTGGTGGTGACGATGGGCTGGATGCTTGGGTTCTGGACGTGGACGACACCTGCCTCTCCAACATGCTTTACTACAAGACCAGGAGATCCTACGGCTGCCTTCCTTACGAGCCGCTCTCTTTTCGGGCCTGGGCTTCCAAGGCCCGTTCCCCCGCGATCCCGGCCGTGCTGGGCCTGTTCAATTACCTCCGGGACGCTGGGTTTAAGGTCTTTCTTGTCACGGGGAGGGACGCGGAAGCGCTGGGAGATGCCACGCGTCTTAATCTGCTGCGCCAGGGGTTCGTTGGTTACCATCGCCTTATTCTCAGGTAATTAATATCGTATGCATTGTTTTGGCTTTCAATAATTTTGTGTGTGCTGAGTTAACGAGTGGGGATATCTGAAAGTGCAGGACGGCGTCGTACAGAGGGCAGAGTGGGGAGGTGTACAAGTCGGAGATGAGGCGGCAGGTGATGGACGAAGGTTACAGGATCTGGGGCAATGTGGGGGATCAGTGGAGCGACCTTTTGGGCCATTCTTTAGGCAATCGCACTTTTAAGCTTCCTAATCCAATGTACTTTGTCCCCTAATATTAATAATATATCTACTTCTTAGTCTATTTTATTAAACTATGTAACAATGCACATTGATATGAGCAAGAGAAGTAATATACAAAGTGGTGGTGAAGACATCTAAAACGAGGAGTCCCCCCCTAATATGTCTTAAAAAAATTCCCGAAATATAATATATAGTTTTTATAATAATTTCTAAGCTACACATGTTTTGCCCCGATCACGGTTAATAAAAGAGATCAAAGTGTAAATTCCGTCCGAGTGAAGCGATCAAAGGTCGATTAGTCGTTGGATCGCGGTTGGAGGAAGCAATCAACGATCATCGCGTCCAAGCAACACGATTGAGCATTAGAGGAAACACAGATCGCTGACGTAGACATCGTTGTGCTTCTTGATAGACGCGGATCGCTGAGCTGTCGCGCAATCAACCGTTGATCGCATTGGACGGCTGCGATCAACGAGCTATCTCTCCTCCCGTTGCACATTGATCACTTCCAAAAAAGTGATTTAGGTGCTCCATCCAGCCTATAAATGCCAACCCCTGCCCTCATTTCATTCACACCACAACACATTTTTCCTCCCTCCCCCCTCCCTCCCATACCACTAAAAAAATATGGGTGTGTCCTGAGGTTGCAGCCTAGTTCGATCTTCCACATCATATCCCGTTTTCTTGAGTTCTGAAAAATCTTTGTCCCGCTAAAGTATCTTTGTCCAGATAAAGTCCCGCTAAAGTCTCATAGAAAACCCGGTCAAACCTCTATCCAACTTTTGCAAAAAATGGACGAAGAAACTCTTAATTAGGGTATGTGATATATTTTATAGTTTTATGATTTATCAACGTGAATCATGTCGGAATGCTAAAAGATCAATTTCTTAGTAGAATAACAATGATTAAACGTTATTTTTTTCACGATTTGTTTACAAATATAATAATGGTGTTTTCTTGTATTTATTGATGGATGGGGGTAGGTATTTACGATCCTAGGTTTTATACAGAGCCTGGCCCGAGGGATGCCCATTATTTAACCAAGAAAATAATCGATCCCATGCAATTTGGAACAGCAACCTGGTAGGCGCGCCCTACCTTCAAAATCATGTTTTTTTAATTATTTTAAAACGTCGGTATAAAACTTAATTTGTGCATTTTTTTCGTAGGACTCACTTGTTCCCGTGGTCCACAAAGGGATCGTGCACTTGCCCCAGTTTCACCCCCGACTCGTGCACTATCTAGAAAGGACAGGGTTGGAAAGGGTGAGACACTTCGTGAAGATTGAGATTGACAACGAGCTACTCACGACCATGTCAGAGACGTGGCGTCCCGGGACACATACCTTCCACTTTTACGAAGGGTGCGGGATGTTGCCATCCTAAATATGTTGCCGATCACCGGAGATGCTATCATCATCAATGAGTTTCAGATGGAGTTTCTAGAGAAGGTTATGAGAAAATTAACTTGGTTTTAACAAAAATTGGTCTACATGGTGATAGGGGTTGGAGTTTGGTTTCGGGTTTTCGGTTTAAACTGAACCCGAACCGACAAGGAAAGTGATGGCTTCGGGTTTTCCAGTTCCAACCAGAAAGGTGTTGTAACGGTTTCGGTTTCGGTGAAACCGCGAACCTGATAAGGAACCCGCAAAACCGAAATTCAGTAATTGGCTCCCAATTCCCATAGTGACGTTTTGAAACCATAAAGTCTTTAATTACTATATTAATCGCGTATAGGAAAAAGTGTAAGCAATTAAATTATATTGCTAATGACTTTCTAAAAAAAAAACATTGCTAATGATTGCTTATAATTCCAACGGGTTGACTGCTATAAATACATTGTCAGTGATTAGCCGAATCCACTAATTGGGCTCCTATGTTGACGTTTCGAAATCAGTCTTTAATTACTAATTACTATATTAATCCCACTTGCTTTATACGTTTTGTTTCTATTACTCCCATTTGCTAATCCCATTGATCTCGCCATTAATTGATCATAATTAGATTAAAATTAATCTAATTAATAATTACCTAAATTAATTGATTATAATACTTGCTAATCCCATGCATATAGACGCCAGCTAAGGTAACAAGTCTTTTGGTCAACTAATGGAGTTTGACATGTCATGAGTGCTTTAGTTTCGGGTTTCGGTTTCATTCTAACCGAACCGAACCCGGTAAAGAAATCTTTGGATTTTGGTACCCGAAACTTTCCTAATCGGGTTTGGATTCGGTTTGCAAACAAAACGGGTTTCAATTTTCCGGGTTTGTTTGGTTTCGGTTCGGTTACCCGAACCCGACCCGACCCGAAAGCCCTACTTGGTGATGATGGGTATACATTTATTCTTTGTCCTTGTCAGTCATCATAAATCTCGGGGTTCTGCCTTTTCATGGGTTAAGACTAACTCCAACCCTTGCTTGCAAATTTGGAGAAAGACTATATTTTGCCTTTTTTCATCTCCAACCCATCAATAACTTAGCTTCCAAATTTGGAGATTGGGGTGTTGGGGTGGATAGGTAGCAGCTGGAAGGGGGAAAGGGGGCAAATATAGCAGCTGGAAAGGGGACCTGCGTGCAGGCGAGGCCCAACCGCGGGAGGCGCGCCTGGGCCGCACGCGCGCGGGAGGAAGCCCTTCCTCCCGCGCGCGTGCGGCCCAGGCGCGCCTCCCGCGGTTGGGCCTCGCCTGCACGCGGGGTCCCCTGCTGCTGCTTTTTTTTTTTTTCATTTTTTGTTTGTATTTATTTGTGTGGGTGTGTTTGCGTTTTAGTTTGTGTGGGTGTGTTTGCGTTTTAGTTTGAAAGAAGTAATATAGTGACAATAAAACGGTCACATTGCAACGGACACATTTTAACGGCCATAAAACGGTCATATTTTTTTTCTATATAATGAGTAACTTCTCATGGTTTTTCTGCACTCATTCTCAAATCAATCTCTCTCATTCTCTTCTATTTATCATCTCTCAAAACAAAAACATGTCAAGTAAGAGAGGCCCCAATTGGAAAGCTCATGAAGATGTAAACTTGTGCAAATCTTGGATATCAATATCTGAAGATGGAGCGGTTGGCATCAACCAAAAGAGCACGAGATTATGGGAAAGGGTGGAGAGGGAATTTCGAAGAAGCGATCCTACAACAATTCGTACTACGGATTCAATGGAATCCCGACTGAGACTTATCAGTAACAAGTGTAAAGTTTGGAAGGGAGCTTTGCAGAGGGCGGAGAGGAGTCAAACGAGCGGTACCAACCAAGTTGATGTGGTATTGTTTTGGAAACTTTAACTTTTGTATTTCTTATTTTTATGTATACTTATCTAACTTGTGTATTAATAATTTTGATAGGAATTTGTAGCAAGGAGAATATATAAGGAAGAGAATGGGGACAAAGCCTTTGAACATGAGCATTGTTGGGTCATCCTTCGAAATTGCCCAAAGTGGTATTGTGACCCTCAATTGGTTGTTGGTCCAATTCCACCTATGGGTCAAGGTTCTCAAAGTTCTCCCACAGGTATTGGTTCTCAATCCTCCCCTGTGGAAGGCCTCGACGACATACCAGACGAGGGAGCTACGCCTTTCGTGCTGTCTCGCCCTGAAGGACGCGACAAACAAAGGGCAGCAAAAAAGAAAGGTAAGGTAGTTGCGGAATCGTCAGACATGTACACTACTCAACTACTAGAGTTTGGTAATGATATGAGAGAGAGGCAAAAGTCGAGGATGGAGTACGAAAATAGAAAAATTAATCTTCAAGAGAGGAGACTAGAGAGGGAAGCCGAGGAATGGGCATACAAGAGGCAAGTGAGGGAGCAGGAAGCGGAACAATGGGCTCTTGAGAAGAAGGAGAGGGAGGCCGCATTACTTCAACAAAATATGAATATTCTGGAGAAGGATTTGTCAAAGATGACACCAAGAAAGAAGAAATTTTGGAGGAATAAACAAAATGACATCTATGGGTACGATCAAGATGATCCCAACTCTAATCCAGGAGATGGCGGAGATGGAGATGCAAGTGGTGGAGGAGATGGAGATGAAAGTGGAGGTGATTACTTTCCTGTTATGGATTATGATTAGAAGAAGGTCCTATGTGTACTAATTTAGGCTTTTATTGCTTTATGTGGTGTGTTTTGTGTTGTATTTGAACTTTGAGCATTTTCACGTGTAATAAAAAAAACTAGTCGTTATTGAATCTTTTGACTAACTACAAAACACACTTTATTGAAACATGAAATACAATCACACACTGAAACTTGAAATACAAACTACCAAACAAGCAATACAATCCATAATTAAACAATACTAGTTATTGCCCTGCAAATTCCAAAGATGCTCAACCAAGTCATTTCGAAGCGCATGATGTGTTGTTGAGGAGTGAAGCCTATTATTTCTAGCCAAATAATCAACCAGAGTTGGAACGTGTCGGTTGATTGGTTGAGGTTGTTCATGGACCTCATAATCAAGGTCATCATCCATCTCATCATCAGAATCAACTTGCTCATCCTCGATTATCATGTTGTGTAATATAATGCACGTTAACATTATATTGTTCAGGGTGACAACATCCCAAGCTCTTGCAGGGCCATGAACAATTGCCCATCTTGATTGGAGGATTCCAAATGCCCGCTCTACGTCCTTGCGGTGTGCTTCTTGACGTTGAGCAAACAAAGCCTCTTTGTTTGACCTTGGATTGCTGAAGGTCTTCACTAAAGTCGACCATGAGGGATAAATACCGTCGGCCAAATAATAGCATTGATCATAAGCATTGCCATTTACCTCAAATCGTACATGTGGAGCGCTTCCATTGACAATACGATCAAACACTGGCGACATCCCCAGAACATTTATATCGTTGTTCGATCCAGGAGATCCAAAGAAAGCATGCCATATCCATGTGTTGTAGGAGGCCACCGCCTCTAGAATGATTGTTGGCCTATGCATATGGCCGGTGTATTGTCCTGCCCAGCCACTTGGACAATTCCTCCATTCCCAATGCATACAGTCAATTGATCCAATCATTCCAGGAAAGCCACGTCTTGAGGCTTTACTGAGTAAGATCCTTAAATCGGCAGGAGTAGGTGCGCGAAGATATGTGGCCCC